CACCAATAGAATTGCATATCACCTTAGAAAAATTTACTTGACTATTCTGTGGGAATTATGTGTCAGTACTTTGCTTGTGGTCATTATTTGGTATTGTTGGCATGTATAGGTCTAAGGCAAGTGTGAAAAATAAAATATATTTTAATTGTGGTAAAATTTGGGCATAGTTGAAAAAAATTGTCCTAGGATGATAATAAAAGGAAAAATGAGAATAGAGACGAGGCGAATGTGACTTTAGGGTCGAGTAGTGATCCTAGTGAGGTTTATTGAGAGAATAAACCTGGTTCTTACATTGCATCTGTATGTAATCCTTTCTGCATGTTTGTGGTCACTTAATTCTGTTGCAATATTGATGTTACACTTTCAATATGTTTGATGTGTGTAATTGCATGAATTAGAGTGACTTATTACTTTGTGTAATATGTTTACATGCATAGTGGGTCAAGTTTTGTGGCGTACTCTATTTGCTTTGTGAGTGGTGTGAGAGTGTGGTAGTGAGAAGAAAGTTGGGTAGCCGTTTCTCTCCTTTGTCTTTGTGAGCCTGTGTGGTTTGTGAGATTATGTGAGGCAGCCATGTTAGGGTTACCTTCTTTGTCTTTGTGAGCCTCGTTTGTGAGTGTTGTGAAGTAACCAACTCTTTTTTCGATTTTTCTATGTGAGTGTCACCTTTGCCATTTTCTTTGTGGATTTTTGGAGCTTTGGTGATTAGAGAACCTTTGTGGTCACCGAAAGGTGTTGTTTTGCCACAGTGAGTTGGATGTCTTTTGGTAAGGTGGAGTATAGATGCTTAGATGTGCATTGGTGATATGCACGGGGGATGTGGAGTGTGACATTTAGATCATGAGTGGAGATGTGATCAAATGTGTAGAATCTTTTATCTTTGAAAGAGACCCTGATCATGTGGAGTGTGAGAGAGACACTTCTATCACTTCTGTAAGGTGGAGTCCCATTATCCACGTAGGTTGGGAGAAGTAATGTGGTGATAGAGGATTATCCCGAGAGCTTAGGATCTATTGTGACTTACTAGTTAGACATGAGTTGAGTGATCTATTTAGTGAGCATGATGGACGATGAGAGGAGATATATGTTTTCGAAGTGTGAGCAACACAGAATGGGAGAGGATAAGTGTGGTGAGATCTTTTCTTAAGATCATTTATGCATGTGTTGCATATGTGCTTGACCATGGTTTGATTAACCAGGTGTTAGTCTGTGGTTCTGTGTGAACATGATTTTGAAAAGATCTGTGTGTGTTATCCTATTTATCTTCATCGGATGATTATTTATTCATTGTGAATACTTGTTTCTACTTGGATATTCTTGACCTTAGCCCTAGTGAGTACATGGTGCAAGTATGGTATGTGTTTCAGTTCGAAACACAAGGTAACGTCTGTGATTCCAATTTTATTAGATTGCCTTGATTGTGTAAGTATAAACTATATGTTTTGGTTGCTTGCAGATTATTAGGCATCAAGGTAGAGACTGTTGGGTTTTTTTATACCCAATAATCCGGGTGATGATTTAAAACAATTGTCGGTTTATTTATCGACACCATGGACTTGGCTCGGCTCGGAGACGAACTACACTTTCGGATGGCCCAAGTTTTAGTTAGTGTTGGGCTTTGGGGTATTTGTTGAATTAGTGGATTGTGAGTTGGAGTAATTGGTAGCTCATTAGTTTAGGTTTTAAGAAGCCCTTATGCACAAGTTTTTGGCCCAAGTTGTGTGTCTAACCTATGTTTTATATATATATATATATANTTTTCTCGATGGTGGTGAGTAGGTGTGTGTGGAAGAGAGGGCCGAGAGGGTTGAGGGGCAGCCGGTTTGGAGGGTTTGTTGGAATCAAGAGTTATCGAGGGATTTTCGCTACACGCCTCAAGAGCCAGCTAGGCATTAAGCGAGCGATTGTCCTTCCTATTAGGAAAATGTGTAATTGGCAATCTATGACCAAAGGACTTATTTGTCAAAATTGTAAAGTCAAGGACTAAATTGTACAGGTCAAATAGTTCAGGGACTAAAGTTACAATTTAGTAAAGGTTATAGCATAGGTCTAGGGTAAAGTGGGATGCTTTGAAGATGCAAACGGTGCATTGATGTCGTTGGAGTTTCGCCCTGACCTTGCTAGAGCCAAATTGCAGAACTGACCTCGCTGGAGTTTCGCTGGTCTATCGCCTGAGCGAAGGTACGTCGCTCGAGTTTCGCCAGGACCTCGCTCGAGCGACTATGTTATCTGGCCTTTGGTAATTTTAGTGCCTCGCGAATTTTTAACGCTCCATATTGCCAAATTCGACCTACTATATAAACAAAACGTCCGATTTTCATTACGTGACCTTTGGCAAACATTAAAACAACAATCCCTCTCAACTTCCAAAGGTTCAAGAGCCAAAATAAATTCATTCTTTCATCTTTGATTCTCATGGTTCTTTGAATAAAAACATCAACCCTCACAAAACCAAAACACCCTTTCATATCTCCATATAAACTTCCAGAAGATCATCTGTTTGAAGATCCGGGAAGGAAATTGCTTGAAGAGCTGGAGTGCTTGGTGATTCACAGGAGGTAGAAGATATTCAAAGCTGGGATTTTGGCACAGATCTGCAAAATCCAGGATAGCTGTGGTCGATACAGTAAGGAGGTCAGAATATTGTTAGAATCAATAATATCTAACATACTGTAAGTCAATATCTTCTATAGTGGATCTCTACTGGCTTGTGCCCGGAGTTTTACCCTAGTTGGGTTTTCTCCGTCAACATTTTGTTGTGTTTTTA